CTATCTCTTCATGGACTTTACGGGTTTTATCATTTAATATTGCGAAGATTTATATTCTTTGGTAAATTTCAATGAAAAATTCTCATCTGGGATACTTTTAGCAAGGTCGTAATATTAAACATTATGAGATCAAAAGTAATTGGCAACTCGAATTTTCAGCGCAAGCAATAATCCCCGTTGTCAGTTCTTTTATTATTTCATCAAGTTCGCGAGAATCCCATTTTCTTGAAATATTTATACGTAGATATACTGTTCCACTCATCTCGTTTCTCCGAATCCCTCATCTCGGTCTATTCTCATTACTTTTTACAGTTTCTTATGAAGCGTACTAATCAGAAAATTCGGCTCCCTTTGCAAAAAAAAAAAAAAAAAAGAAATAGAAGATTTCACTTGTGAATATCTTAAATTCTTAGGATGTTAGTTTTACCACATCAGCGTATTTACCTGCTCGACCAAGTAGATTCGTATACGTAAGGTATGTACCTACGTTTAAGCATACATAACAGCGCATAGTAAAATTCGTCCTACTCAGCAGACTCTATTTTCTTTGAAAACTCGTTGACCTAAAGGCGATGTAAAATTTCGCAGGTTCTTGGAAAGGGAAGGTAACTCTTAAGAGAAAATTCTTCTTGAGAGAAAGAAAATCGTAGAATACGTGGATATACTTCTTGACGAGTCTGTTTAATTTTTTTTTAACTTTAAATCATTCATTCGAATTCACAAAAAACGTTGGCTATGATTAAATCGTATTTTATTCTCTATGTACAAACAGCCCGCAGTTGATTAAATTTCGCTCTGTGTACCGTTTCTCAATGTGTTTATATCGTCGAAAACTGTGGAGTAATTAACATTGCTTCTCTCTACGGGTAACTGCGCATAATTACGATACTCCTCGATATCTCGAAAGTTTAGCTCATCTGTGCCAACGGTTAGATCAGAACACGAAAAGCAACGTATCATTACTAATATCTGATAGTGACGAAGTTAATTACAACTGTATATATCTATATATGAATAAGCCATTAATAAAATCGATAAAATAATCGAGTTATTTCATTAAATCGAAATTTATAATAACATAAAATTCGATACATCGGACATATTCAAAAATAGATTGAATTTGGAAAATATTCGGGATACTAGGATACTATATTGTATATCTTATTCTACATTGAAGACATTCTATTACTGCATATATATATATATATATATATATATATATATATATATTATATACTATGAAAACCATTCGTTTCTTTGCATTTTTAAAATACTTGAATTTTTCTCTATATTCCCGAGGTAAATTAAATATTCCCAGAAATTCTATGCACATCGACGAGAGTAGCATGTCGAATGCGGGCGAATCTAGTGTATGCATTTCCGTTTCAAGGCATGGGAACGCGCGATTTGAATGCGATGCGCTCCACTTTGGCACATAGATAACACACTTTTCCTCCTCGATTCCTCTTCACGGAAACTGAAAATTCGAAAATCAATATGTACGGTGTCATAGCAATATACATGCTTAATAACACAATTTCTAGCGTTTTTTCCCCTTATTTGTCCCCACATTACTTTTTATTTTTCTCTTTTCTTTTTGAAATGATCTTAAATTTCTTTTATTGTACATACGCACTTCGTGAAGTGTATTAAAGAATAATAAAACACGAAGGGGCATATAAAGAACAACGAAGTAAATGATCGTAGAATATTGCTATCACGAAGTTAAGTACACTCTGGAATATGTATTACAGATCCTGGTGATTAGTTGCTATTAATGAAATTTAAAGGACATTGTTTGTGGAGTTTTAGCGCTCCCCGATACGTTCGAATGGTGAAAAGACATGTTTCGAATGCCTCGAATTTTTAATTTTCGAACGATTATTCTTATCGAAGAGATAAAATGAATATTATATTTAACTTATTCTATTTTTCTTCCTGAACAAATTTTTAAATCTTTCGCGAAGATGTAAATAGTCGAAGTAGGCCGAATGGATGAAAAAATGTTGGAAGTTTATACAAAAGTACTATGATATCTAATATGAATATTTTTGATAGATCGAATCGTTGATTCGTTGATTCGTTTCTAAAAGCCAATGATTTTTCGTGATTAAAAGAAAAGAGAAAATGAAATCAATCGAACGTGCAAAGACACGATCAATTTGCTTGGTATACTCGTCATCCATATTAATTTTTAATATCGCGAAACAATGAATGCCGTTGCTTCGTCTCCTTTGGAGAATGCCTTTTCAACGGGCAAGCCTTTTCATACGATGCATCGTCTTGCTTTTCATATGGAGGACAGAGAAAACAAGACATCGTGAAAAAGGAACGGAAGAGAGAGAAAACGTGATCATGTGCAGAGTAGTAATGCAATGGTAACAGTCGCATCACTAATAATAATAACAATGATGCTTCGTAGGAAGAATACGCGATGTGTACATATATATATGAGAGTTGAGAGAGATAAAATAGAAAAAAAATAAACAGATTAAATCGATAAACGACACGGATGTGTCGTTGAAATACACAAAAGTTCAAAATGTTCATTTCGATCGCGTGTTCGAACATCATCCGGTAATGACTTAGCCATGATTGCGTGATTCCGTTCGTTCGCTCGCACGGAATTTGTTTTCTATTTTGTTAAATGACATCGGCTCGTATACCTAATCGTGCTCGTACCTAAGCCACTAAAGCGAGTAACACGCCGAGCGAAACTTACATACTCATCCGCATAGCGAGCTTTGCAAAATTCCAGACTAGTAGTAGCTACTACTGGTATTGCTAGCGGTAGGTCAAGGATTCTGTTTCGCCGAGATTAGCCTATACGAGTTTCGTTCTGTTGCAGTGATGTTCCTCCTTGATATATACGGATTAATTGCACCCACGGCAAATCGATAAAAAGAAAGTTTTCTACTCGAAGATAAGAGAATTTGCATTTCCGCGTACACTGGAAATACAACGAATCAACGACCGTACCACGTGATAATAGTTGCGGTCGGCCCGATTGAAAAAGATCGATGTAAACCATAAATTACGATGGTCGGCCCTTTGAAAAGTGTACCACTGTTTTTAGGACGACGAGATTGACTTTTGTCTCTCTCTCTCTCTCTCTCTCTCTCTCTTTCTCCCAATCTTTTAGAAATGTATTGATCTATCGTTTACAGTTTACATTCTACATTTTCGACCCATATATGAATTTAAAGTGCATCCCTTTAAATAGTAATTACCGTAACTAAATACAAGCGTGCATTATTGGAAAACTTCGTGCAACAGCTGTCCGAGTTAGCAGCAACTATTCATTATTTGAAAATTATACGGGTTTAACATGCTCACAATATGTGAATAATATAAGAATTCTTTCGAACATAGTGTTAGATAATTTACTATCGTCAGACATTTCTCATTCGCTTCCAATCCATCGGACGAGACGCGTCGAAAGATCGTCCGAGATACCAATGACTTATACCACTCGTTCTTCATTAAAGAGAAACTTCGAAATCACGATAGTGGTAGAGCTGTTAGTTCAAATCTCTCGATAATCGGCCGAATTTCATTCGAAGCCACAAATGAATTTTCGCTTATCGAGACAGCTTTTGGTTCGATCGATTCTTATTAATAGCTTTCGAAGGACAATACTACCGTCCGAAAGGAAATAACAACGCGAGGGAAAGAGAGAAAGAGAGAGAGATAGAGAGATAGATAGAGAGAGAGAGAGAAAGAAAGAAATTTTTCTTTTTTCTCTTCCGTCTATGAAAGTTCATTTCCTCCAACTTTGGCGTACATATATGTATACATACATCCTTAGAAATACCAAATGCATAGATGTACAATAATGGCGCGTTAATAGAACGAATCGTGGGAATATTATTGCTCCACGATAATGAGTATTCCTCGTGTTCGCGTTTGCCCACGAAAAGGCTAAAAGGCATAAAATCCAAAAACGAAAAATCAATCGAACTAAACGATCGTCGTTAGCTCGATGAAGTTCTGTTCACTTCGTTTCTCTGGTTTTATCGGCTGAAGTCTGACATTACGAACTTGAAAAAATATTTTCCCAGAGCGTTTTAAACTCTCCTCTAAGAGTCAGCATTTATGACAATGATTTGTGATCAGGCATTTGCTTGAACGATTACGAGATATAAATGTGTCCACCTTTATCATCGATCTTCATAACAACCTGAAGGATACGTACATATATACGTATCGGACGAAATATCTGAATTCTCTAGTCCTTGAATTTCGTGAGTCGAATCCTAACGGGCTAGCGATGAGAAGACAAAGAAGGTGTGTGGGACAATTCGTGATGTCAACACTCGTTATTCCAAAAACACGGAATTTTGTATATCGATCCTATAAGAAGCACTCTTATTTGAGATCTTTCATGGTATTCAACAAACTTTTTGATGTTTTATGATTTAAGAACGTTATTTGGAGATATTACAAAAGAGAGATTTATTCTTTCTTTCTTTCTTTCTCTTCCTTTCAAATTTCGTCGATTTCAAGAAGCTAATTTCAAGAAGCACGATAACAATTACAAATTTTCCGTCTATTTTTCCGTCCAGAAGTGTATGCATGATTTTAGCTTTTATTCGTTCTATCCCCCCTTTTCATGTTTGAAGTAAAAAACAAACAATGATGAATATTGGGTTGAGAGTCACTGTTCTCGGTGACACGATTTCCCGACTTGTCCTTCGACGAAAAACCATTGGATCGCAATGTAGGTGAGATACGTACTCTGCATCGTGGGAGAAAGTGTTGCATGGAGAATGGAAAATAATATGCACGAGAACGTATGTTCCGTTCACGATATAAACTGTTATAAATTTTGCTTGTATCGTTTTTAACACGTTGTTTTCAAATGTATAATTCATAATCTTTAAGGTAATATTAAGAGGTAAAATAAAAAATGCAAAGTATGTCGTGGCAAAGAGTGGTAATTTGTAAATGCAGGTAAAGGAAAAGAATTGCTATTGGCTAAGGCCGAGTTGATAACTCACCACCGCGTAATGAAATCGGTGCCAATGGTAAAGATTGGTGCTGTCGTACGATTGGTCTCGGTGCCGTTCAGGCTGCTTTGAGTCCCGTTTACCTCCATTCCGTCGAAACGAAGCCACGGTGACAGCAAGCTCAAGAGCTACCGCACCTTCTCTCACTGTCCAGTCATCTCTTGGACATTCTGCAAATGAAAAGAATCTAAATCGAAAGTCTAATAGTTATTACTTTCACAGAGATGAAATCATGTAATATATTGAAGAGAAAAAAAAAATTTATATAGTTGGCCGAACGACCTTTAGCTTAACACACATTGTTTGCTCGTCAAAATTCATTGCCGGTAATATATCGATTGGCATTTGACTTTGAGTTGAGCAAAAGTGACTTAATATCTGTAATAAATTCTTTCACGAGGGAGGTAAAGCCAAGGTCGAATAAGGAGAATGCAAAAGATCTTGAGTATTTTCGAGCAAGCTTTCAAATTCAACGATCGCAGCGCAAGAAAAACAATTGCATGAAAGAGACACTGGTATCTGCTTATGTATATATATATATATATATATATATATATATATATATATATGTGTGTGTCTCAAAATCATCTATATATATATAGATGATTTTGAGATAAGCGTTTTGTTTTCGATTGATTTTATCTAGGATCAAGTTTACGTTTCAGAAAATAATCGGTAGACGTATTACGTACATATATATATATATAGCAAGATTTTGTAGTTTTTGAATATTTATCACTTCATTACTTTACTATTCTGACTTTGTCGTTATTATCGCGAAAAATGTCCTGCCCGTGTTCTTTTGTAATAAAGGAATTACTTGCTAATGGTTAAATGAGCTTCCTAGGTCGCATCAAGTAGAAATCTTATCGTATTTGCATGGATATTGCTGGAAGACGAAGCGACTTTCTACAAAGGCACTACCTAGAATGAACAACTAGCCTTAGGAGTTTTCAAATAAACTTTGTTTGCGGTCAAACGACGAAAGGACTTGTTATTTGCGTTAATAAACAACAAATAACATGGGAAAAATTAAGAAGCTATTAATCGCGATTTGAAATTCTTCTGGTTTGAAAATCTAATTACGTCTGATAACGTCAATTTCGTTAACGAGTTTCCTTCCTAATTGACATGAAGACCTTTCGGTTTGTTGAAACTAATGAGATAAAGATAAATGAAGGACGATGAAAGAATTGATCCCTTTTTTTTTCACTTTGTTCTACAAGCATTTATAACAATCGAAATGTACCGAGACACAATGCGTCCGTGTAAAACATTCGGATCGATCGGTGCATTTCCAGTGAGTCTTTCTCTCTCTCTCTCTCTAACTATCTATCTTTCTCTACGAGTTTCGAAGAATTCCTATCGAGAGAATGTGTGTACGTATTCGCATACTTGCATGCAGATGGACGAGCACGTGAAATAGTATAAAACACGCGACTCTTATCGTATCGGCGATATCTTTTTCGAACGTTTTTTCGATTCCTTTTTTCTTCAGTTTTTTCTCTCTCGTTTTATGCACTACTCTAGGTATATATACATGAATGTTATGTAACGTCGAGTAGAGAGAATCGTTCGTAGTGAAGATATTTCTTCTTCACGACCATTTTTCCAATACCTCGTCATAAATTGCCGTCTTTCAGGCGTTGAGTTTTTCTCATCGCGAGATTCACAGAGAACATCTTCATAGAATTATGTCTACGAATGTTCTGATCTTTGTTATTGACCAATGTCTTCAAAACAAGAGCTATATAATATTTCTATAAAATATTTGAGAATTTGAGAATCGTGGATCGTATGAGAAGTTTTTAAAATAATTTCTTTTTATTTTATTTTATTTTATTTTATTTTATTTTTTTTTTCTCTCAAATCCCATGGCCACACGTCTTAAGAAAGCGTCGTTTAACAAAGAGGTTGGATTTAACACAAGATATTACTTTAATTCTCACTAGACTAGTTCTTACTAGCATTTGTTTGTACTCATCATCCTTGGAAATTCTTGTATGAATCCATGTGTAAAACAAAAGGACAGAAGTAGTCAATTAGTGCACACCATTGCTTAAATTTTTCGCTTACCTTTTAAAACTATTCATGGTTGGCGAACCATAAGTTCTCTTTTTTTCTTTTTTTCTCAAAATCGTTGAAGTGTATTTTTTAAATGAGGATATCTATATAGATCATTATTTTATAGTTAATATTTTGATCTATTCCATGTTCTAAACGTTTCAGTTAGTTAGATTTAAAACTTTACAGTAAAATTGATTTACATATGTGCATTTGAAAGAGATCTAACGTTATAATTATCATCGACGTCTATGTACTTTGTTTCCACTTATCGCATTTGTTTCGTGCATTCATTCATCCGAATGCGAAACGAACGATATATATATATATTTTTTTTCTCTTCACTGAGAGATACTGTACAGGCAATCCTCCGATATACAGCTTATATGGAACATAAACGTGACTTTGCCTTATATGTGTGCGTGAATGTTCATGTACCCTGTACTAGTATGACCGATATTGAACATGTAAAGCGACAGATAGTGAAAATGAAACGAAGGGAACTCTCATCATAGTATAAAGTAAAAAAGAGTACTATACGTTTAGAGAATCTAGTGGGAGCGAGGGATTGAAAAGCGAACGCACTATCAAATTTTTACGTTTTCTCATGTTCTCTCGGAAAATCATCGAATATCGTTTTTACGATGATTATTGACACAGGAAGCGAAAGATTAGACGTTGAGGATTTGGTGGTATCGCGTCAGCCTAGAACCGACCATCGATTTGTCTGTGATTTCAACAAAACATCCCTGTAAATAAATAAATAAATAAATAAATAAATAAATAAATAAATAAATAAATAAATAAATAAATATATATATATATAATAGGTATATTTATTTATATGTATACGACATTTCATGTTTGAAAAAAGAGAATGAAATAGCATGTCAACAGATGCAGATTTGACGGGCGATAAAACCTGCGCTTTGTATTGTCCTTAATAAACATCGTGGTGGAGGGTATTAATTAAGTCAACTTTATGATTCATCAGAGTTATTAAAAAATAAAAAATTTGCTATTCTTTGCGAAGTGATCGTTTATCTATCGAGCGAATCATTCAATTGGACGATTACGATAAATTGTTTAATTTTATACATTTAACGCGTCGGTCGTAGTCGAAAAGAAGACAAAATGATGATTGGATCATCAAGACGGAAGGCAATAATATGGAATTGGTATTCGATCGACGTAGATTTCCGGTGACGAGTCAGTTAGTTTCGATTTTTCTCGAGGTGATCGTCCTCTCGAAGGAAAATCTTGAAAAAGGAAGAACAGAAGGAAGAGAAGGAGTAGGAGGATGGTTACTAAAGGAAGACCAATGGGACCGATTTGCGAATAATTTACTCGTGCAACGAACGAAAGCATCTTTCTATTTAGTTTTAGCGAAGGAAACTACCGCTTCCATTCGGTTGACTCAATATTCCTCGTTGAGGAAATGAAAGAAACTGTCTGAAATTAGGTCGATATATAGTACATAAATAAATTCCGTGGAGATGAACAAATTCCGATAAGCCTATCGGCTCGAAAAAAAAAATGTTTTTACCCGTCGAGACTTTAATGAGGTTCTATCTCTTGTTTGCCGTTGGCATGAGCAAGCGTACGTTAATCACGATCCTTTCTCTAATTCGTCTTTCGTTCTTCGAGAATAACCATAGATCGTTTATACTCGTACGGATACATATGTCGGCCTTTTGAAATTTCAATCGATCAAACCGCCCTTGTTCATATTAGTAATTGGCACATCTATTTCGCATTCCGATATGAAAATTAATTAATTGCGAATTATACTTGATTTCCCATAAGCCCGCGACGTTTGACATTACTTTGTATCGTCGAGAGAGAGAGAGAGAGAAAGAGAGAGAGAAAGGATATCGTTCTTTCGTGACATCAAATCAAAGCGAATCTTTTTTCTTTCGAGGAAAAACTTTCAAAATCGTTAATATAAAAACGGAATGCGGAATCTGAAGCATCCTCTTTAACGAGGATCAATCTTGTTGTAGATTTCTTTTTATTTTAAAACAAACGAGCATTACTTCGGAAAGCTTATCAACTCGAATAAGCGACTTTAGATCGTTTAAAACTTTAGGGAACGTGAAATTATGCTACTTCTCATCTCTATAAAAAGCATCTTAATTTCCTGTATATATTTTTAAACCTTATGTTATTTTTATTTTATAGATCTTTCATTTGATATCGACTTACGCATTTCGTTAAAGCTTTTCTGTTCTGGACAACACCGGAAATGTAAGAAATAAGAAAAAAAGTGGGACAATGAAGTAAAACCAAAGGCAAGAGAACTTTCTTCCTTCTTTCTTTTCTCGGCTTTTAACGATCATGTGCACGCTTGGATTTGAAATTACAAGATCTTAGAAAAGATTATTAATGCTCGTTCCTTTCCCTAGCCATCGTTTGTAGTTAAAGTTGTTCGCTCTCAGTGTTTAAAAACATATACTAGGTTGTTCGTTTGATACTCCCTATAAAAGGAATTATACGGAATGCTTTATAATTGCATCTATTTGCATGTTATATGCACATGTATTTTGACGTTACAGACGATATTGAATTTCTATAGATGTTATATGGACCGGTGGGAACATTGTAAATACGATAGCCGTGCTACTCGACAGGTGGAGGATGTACGTACATTGTTAATCCGATGCTTCTCATCTCTCTCCCCGAACATCCTTGTCACGGATGATGAACAGAAATTTGTTCGGTAATCATGATAGAATCGTCTTTATGCTTGCGTGCATTCGTAATGTTCCTATCTCGCCCGAAAGAAAAAGAATATCAGTGTGCTTCTTTTTATTAATTTAATTATCGCGTAAAAGTGGTAAGAGAAACTTGCAAAAGAAAAAAAAATAGAGATAAAAATAGAGTGGAGAAAAAAGAAGATATTAAAAAATTCCGTGATTTTCTCCGATCCTTTGTCAATCCTTCTACACATACAGTTTTATAAATTTTTGGATTAAATACTTTCTACTATTCGAATAATATTTCATTTCTTTTCCTTTCTACGTTATAATTAGGAGAATGGAACATTGGCGAACATAACGCGATTGCGTATCGGTTGGACGAAACGTGACTACTTTTTGATCACGATCTCGACGTGACGTGATGCACGAAACGAACCTTCAAATCTTTTCAATTTGATCGACATTCGTCCGATCAGAGTTTCCATTCAGATTTTTATTTTTATTTCTTTTAAAATCAACGATTTAAATCATATTCGATTTGACGTAACGAGGTACGAGTCAATTCTGAACGCGTAACGAAATAAGAGTCGGAATCATGTGACAATCAAAGGGTGTTTTAATTTTATCGAGTTATAAATTGTAAGAATCTCAGAACGTTGTAAACGCTTATCGAAAGGTATTCGTGACGGTTTTCTTATATTGGATTAAATGTGTTTCACGAACGATAGCGTGTACCTTTCTTTCGTGTTCCTTATCGAGCTGTCTCGCGAAAAGTGCTTAGCTACTCGTGATATATTATAGTAATCGTGATTATTTTCTTCGGACTTCTTAACGAAGCGCGTCCGCGAAGTTTCGTTTGAATTTAACGATCGATTGCAATTTTATGAGATTTGTAAAAATCGATCATCGATTGAAAATGGAAAAAAAACAATTCTTATTAGAATTTTATAACGATGTGTTAATCTTCATTAATTTATGTATTCCACGATTTGGTTAAAACATTGTTTTGAATAAAACCATTTGATTTTTTTTTTCATTTTATTGTCATATCACTCGAATTTACATATATTCAATTCATGTAGCATAAATAATTGAATAATAGATGTTCATTACTATGCTCTCATTTAAATAAAACATCAATCGTTGTGATCCAAAAAAATGTTCGTTCGATCTATTATTTGATTCAATTTATAAAGTACTCGTTATATATTCTTGTGACGTAACGAGCACGTAGGTATGTACAATCGACGCTTCAATGGAAAAAATGTTTCAATATGTGACGAGCACATACCGTCAGGATTTTTATTTAAAATAAAATTCGACGATGGAACGATATTGCGCCACTTCATTTGACGTTTTAATATCAGGATATCAAGACGCATGTCTCTATATGACCGTAAAACGTGTAAAATTCATTATATGAGTTTTAGTTATAGTTGCGAGAATATTGTTTCATGATGACGATTTTGCACTTTAATGAAGAATTATGCGTAACGAGAATCGCTGCTAGCTACAATTTTTGCTCCTATTTCAAGATAAATTACAAAGATGGACTTTATAATAAATTTTCATATTGACGATATATTATTGTTATTATTATATCGTAATATCGATCAATAGGTTTTTGTTGTGCAAAGTGCTTCTATATATTGTCCTTTAGAGTCTTCGACCCTCATAGCACAAAGTGGCCATGACGTAGTGTACAAGTGCACGTTTGTGTATCCACAAAGTATGAACTAATCGATATTTATTGATCTCACGTTCAGAGCCACGGGAAGGACGCATAAAGGAGAATCCTTCGACGCTCGTGTTCGACCTAAAATTATTATTATGCGTAGCTTCGGAGTGCTTGGCCAACATGAGCCTCCAATTCCTGTCGTTCTATTTGCATACGCCTCTTCGTCTTTTACCCTTGAAATCGAAATCTTGTTAAGGGATGGTATTTCTCTTGGTAACTTTATAATTAAAGAACGTTCATTAATTGGATACCTACAAGAGTTCAGGGTATAACATTAAAACTTTTATTTCGATTGAAATTCGTAAAGGACATCAATATTATCGTTTATCGTTTAAATATTCATAGGGAAGTATACATTCTCGAGGAATTAAATCGAATTAAAATAGTCGATGTAATCTAATGCGATATAATAGAATCAGTCGTTATTAACAAATATTGATCAGATTTTGAGAGTCATATTTGTGCGAAAATAGATGGCTAATTAAAATATTGTACGTTATTCGCGATTTATCTTTGATACTCGACTATGAAACATCATAATTGCTGAACAGCTTGTACTATGATTATTATAGTAAGTACTTTCTTCACTTAAGATCAACAACTTATCATCAAGAAGTTCTCCTAACATAATTTGAGAGAGATTCTCCATGGTAAACTTTTTGATTGCATAGTCGCATTCATAGCCATTTAGAATTTCGAAACTCGTTTCTATTAAGAACGATGTTTCTTCGTTTAATAATTGACTTTTCTGTCTTTAATCATACTACTTCATTTGGTTATGGAACATCTTGTGATTATTATGGAAATATTGTTATTCTTAAGAGCTATATTCAAGGCTAGAGAATGAAAGAAACGAAGTTATTGAATAACCGAAAGTCTAGTAAATCGTTGACACAGACTGGAATAATAATGCGAAGAACTTCACGTAAAATGCCGAGGCTCGTGAAGAATCGAAAAATAGGGGAAATATCCGGAGAATATATTGCGAAAGATCGTGAGGGTTTTAAGGGGATTCACGAACTGCTATTGATCTTCAAAAATAAGCTCGCATCTATCGGTAAAGTATAATTTCCTATAGTTGGACTTGGAATAATGTCTTTTTCGATTTTAGATTTCGATGATACTAATGACATTTCCTATACGATAAAATATTTAGTCCTTTGAGATTCCTCAATGATTGTCGAGAAGCGACATAATATATTTAGAATTAGACGATGGCTTAAAAAAAAAACGTGAGATTAAAATTATTTATTCATGGAGATTCGACATAAATATCGATTATCCTAATAGATTCTATTGAATCAATTATAGAAAGAAATTCATGGTAGCATTATAATAAAGTAAAAAATTCTCTCTACGGTTAATAAGTTTTACTGAAAATGAAATGTTTTTTCTTCAGTATTTTTGCAAAAAAAAAAAAATCGTTAAGAACTTCGTAACAATCCTCGTGATTTATTTTGTTCGTCGTTATCGGCGTTACGAAAGTGAGTTTGACTAAATTATCGTTAACATTATCGTCACTGTACTACTTCCTTCGATGTAGCAAGTAACTTTGAGGGTGTAGATTTGTTAAAATGTATACGTCGATTTGACTGAAAGAAAAGAGCGATAAGGTTTGATAAGAAATTGTATATTTTGTCGCAATCTAACAAAGATGATCGGCCTTCTACTATGTTCTGTTAGAAATCATCCCCTTTTTCTCGCGCTAGACTCACTCGAGCGGTCACGGCCGGTTCGATATATCGCCGCCTGGTCGAGCGGAATAAAAGGATCTAGAGTTCGTTTACACCGAGTTTAGCACGATGGCAGGGTTGGCGAAACTTGTTCGCTTCGTCAGTATCGGTTGGGTTTCGGTTATTCGACGGAATTTTCGTCGCGCATTCCACCGCTCAACGAAGAGGATCGAATAATCTTCCTCGAATTTTGCATTCCTTGAATTCCTCCCTTTAGACGTAACGCGAATATCGCACGGAGAGCTTACCTCTACCGCCGATCAGAAGGACGATCAGTATTCGTATCTACTGACGTTTGGGATTTCACGATGCACGAAAATTTTCACGAGATTTCGTTGAGTTCGGCACGAACGATGGTGTTGGCACGTTTTCGAAAATATATACTATACTTGGATAACTGCTATTAGCTTGTGCTACTTGCGGCTGGGTTATATCGAGTAAAACGTTCGGTGGCAGGTAATCGGCGCGTCAAAAGGGGCCGCAAAGGCGAGGGTAACGGCAACAAGTAACGAAGTATGACGCTCACCTTGCGTGCCCTCCAGTCACGAAGGACTTTACCAAAGTAGGCCACGTGAAAGTTCAGCTCTTAAAGTTCCATTCGGTCTTAGGACGGACGTTCGGCAGGCATTGTCCGTGCACGTGCTGGACGTCCTAAGTTCCTCAATCTGTCCTCACTGTCACTTAAAAATGCGACTTTCAACGATCGAATCATTCGAGTTTCGAAGAGGACAGTATATAAAAAATAGATAAATAGATAGATAGATAGATAGATAGATAGATAGATAGATAGATAGATAGATAGATAGATAGATAGATAGATAGATAGATAGATAGATAGATAGATAGAGAGAGAGAGAGAAAGAGAAAAATAAGAAAGAGAAAAATCGTCTTAGGAAGAGTGCCCGAAGGATTCCAGAGATCGGGATAGAGTTCGCGCAAAGTTCAGGAGATTACGTTGTCCGACATCATCTTCTTCTTCTCTTTCTTCTTCGTTCTTCCGTTGGCGCGTTATCTCGCCAATATCACCGCTCTCTTTATCGCGTGATAGGAAGAATAAATCACATCGATCTTCGTTCGAGACGATCGGACGTCGTCGTCATCGTCGTTGTTGGCGAACTTCGTCATAGAGTCCTTTTGTTATCGTCCGAAGTTGTTGATCCTTCTTGCGTTCGCCGAGGAAACGTGCGTGTGAACGAGTACAAACGATTGGAGGTTCGAGATGAGATCGGTGCCACGAGACACACACGAATGAACATTACACGGCTCTTAATAGAGTCGCTTATTGTCCGATATTTTTCGTCTTTATGAAAAACGTATGAATCGTATTCGGTAACGTATAGGATAATGATGATAATAATGATAACAACAAAGAAACGAAGAAAGAAGAGAAAAAAGAGAAGAAAAAGATCAAGATTGTCGTTCGGGTCGACGGACACGCGGCGAGGATTGAAGTGAGCGCCGTCAGCGTCGTCCAGCCTTCGTCACCGTCGCCACCGTCGTCGTCGACGTCGACGTCGTCGTCGTAGTCGTAGTCATAGTCGTAGCCGTCGCCAACCTCGTTCCGAACGGACGCTTGCGCAGGAGTGCCAGCCGCCCTTCGACGTGCGTCCATCCAAAGGGGGATGAATCGTTTCCCTTCCTTGCCGTTATTATCAATTCACCTAGTTTTCGTCATAATCGTTGGAAGCCTGCAGTCTTCCAGTCGTCCGAGTATGTGAATTAACAATGAGCTCTCCTCACGAGCGAATGAATGTACGCGCGCGCACTCACTACGCTACGCGATAATGAGCCCGTTGTAAATAAAGGATTTCGATTGGCACAGGAATTCCTTCATTCCTTTTCCTAACTTCTCTTTTTTTAATATATATCATTATATAGACAAATATCAGTATAGATACATGTTTTTCGCTTGTATTTTTTATTTTCTTCTCTTTTCTCTATGCTTTCGTCTTTTTTATTTTCCTTTTCTTTTTTTTCTGTTTAGAGAAAAAATAAGGACCAATATTCTGATACCTCTTTATTCTCAACTCTTTTGCGTCCCACGATGTCGACTCGCTTAAATACTCGACAGCGTTTCTCTTAATCATCTTCATTTTTTGCAATTTTCCCAAAATAGTTTTCAATGAAAAATTCGATTTTGTACATAGCCATCTATATCGTAATGAAAAACACTCGTGAAAATGCCACATTTACGTACAATGAGAGTTAGTGATAAGCGCCGTTAGTTATCGTGAAAACTTCTTCGCTATAGGCCTATAGGATTTCAGTGAATGTAGCGAGAACGTCGGGAAGAATGGGAAACACAAGTTGCTAATTAGATAGAGTAGTTGAGACAATTCCTAAGCTCAATGAACCACGGATTAAAGGTTTAACGTCTCCGTTTACTCGTTTCGAGCGACATTTATATACTTAGAGCGAATACGAGAGAGTGTCAACGTACTTAGCAGCTTTAAACTAAAGTATGGCATTATACGGTTAATTACACACTCGCGGATTAAAGAATAGAATCATGAAACATGAATTATAAATATTTACTATTATTTATAAATGTCTTACGTTTTTGTTCCACTCATAAAATTTTTTCGATCGAACGCCTATTCAAAATTAACTCCAAAGGATTTACTGAACGAATAACCATGACGTAATGACTGACGTAAAGATCGAAAGTAATTCTCCCACGCGTTTTAGTCAGGTCAGGCCGATATTTAGTTCGATCTATTGTAAAACGAAATTATTTATAACCGGGCGTATGTCGTTAAAATATGTGAAAGAAAGGTTCTGGACGAGCGATTGACGTCCATCATAAAAATGGGTAAAAATAAGTAGTAGGTAGATACCTATTCGCAGTATTAATTTTATTATCCACTCGCTCTATTATTTTTATTATCTCGTTATTGGCGTTACACACGCTTCGACGACGAGCAAGTAAGAGAATCAGAGCCGGTTTGTAGTCACTTATGTGAACATTCATTCGTTCGTTCATTCGCGAGAGAGCTATTGAATTCGTGGCAGCGATATTTCCTTCGGCACAGAAATTCCTTCCCGCGTTTTCCTCATATAGATGACTTTCATATATATACACACATATATACATACGTACCTATACATATATTATGTCGAATTGCGTATTCCGAACGACATGTCTCGCGCTAATAGAATCTGGGGAAATCTAAGTGCATACGCTTAAAGTCAAGTTTTTGAAGAGCTCGTGAAAATTCTTAGGTGTTTATTTTATTGGCTTCTCGTACATAAGAAAGCAATGCGCTAGAAAATGGATCCTCGATGGAATCGACGAAAAAGAAACACATGAAACCTAATAGAAGATTTCGAAGTTTCCTTTATCTCTTTATTTCTTCATGAAATGTTTTTATCTAAAAAAAAATCACATAAGTAGGTCGTAATGAGACTGAAAAGAAGAAGATTACAGATATACTGACCAGTAGTTGAATATCCATCGGCGAGAATGATATTATGTAAATCTTTATAAATTCATAAATTTTTATATAACCGTAGAAACATTTCATGTTAGTAGATATTATTCTCCGGATTTTCTCATATTTCACATGTATCCACTCTTAATGAAACAGAAGTGGTCCTAATTAACTCGTTGCCTGCTCTTACCTCTGTGTTTCAGTTTCTCTTATAACTTCTCTGAGATTTCACCGACTACTTGTCGGAAAGAAAATCTAACGAAGCGGTAGACCATCTTATTAAGACCATTGCGCGATTAGATATCCCAAAGAATATGAAACTTTTTTCATAAGGTCGATCGTAGAAGATTTTGTTCTTATCGTGTGAGAGATGATAGCTGAAAAGAGAGAATGAAAGAGAGCGAGACGGTGAAACTTGACAAATGCTGGGCAATTATCCGGGAATGCTGATTTTTAAAAGCCCTTCGATAAAAGGAACGTCATCGTGATGGCGAGTACACGCTTGAATGGAGCTAATATCAGACTGGCTTTTCGGTTAGATCCGAGGGAGTTTTCGTGAGGAGGACAAGTGGAAACCTGGTGGTCTTGGGAATGACATCGCGACGGAAGGTGGATGAAAAAAAAAAAAGAAAAATGGACAGAAGCAGAGATGTTACCGGGCTCGACGACGACGACGACGACGACGACGACGACGACAACGACAACGACATCGATAGAGATGTGCAATGGTGGTCATCGTGTCGGTGTGATGAGAAGAGAGAGGAGAAAGAAAAGAGGAAATGGTCGGAGGGCTCTCATCATCCTCCGCTAATATTTACTCATGCGAACACAAAAACCACTCCCTTCTCGTACTCTCTCTCTCTCTCTCTCTCTCTCTCTCTCTCTCTCTCTCTCTTCCCTCTTACTCTTTTTTCTCTGGTTGATAAAGATACGAGGAAGTTGTCGAGAGAGTGTGTTTAGCTTCGTTCACGGCGCCAACGGAATTTCGTTTTGTGATCGCATCGATGAATTTGGGGATTCTTCTCGAAAGGGATTGGTTAATAATAATTTGTATATAATCAAAAGGAATGGCGAAGTTCGACTCGCCTCGAAACAAAACACCATTTTTAAGAGACTAGGTATCAAGTTTTGTACCAGCATGATTTCTTCGTATTTTCCGAAGTGGCTCGGGCTAATTGCATTCTCTCGCAATATTTCCACGTTCCTATAGTAAATTAAATAAGAAACAGGTCGCAAAAGAAAATGAATTTTATCGAACGAATGGCTACAATCGAAGTGCAACAATCGATGAAAACTTTTTAATAATAACATTCTAAACTTGGATGTCCCAATCTGAGTTTTTTATGATATGATTCTATTTCTTTATATTTATTTTAGACTATATATATATATATATATATATATATATATATATATATATAAATTAATTTAATAGGAAACCATAGTAATGTATCCACGATGGATATGAATGAACGAGCGAAAAGTAAAAAAAAAAAAAATTGCATCTATTTACACAATTTTCATTGAATTTTTCCAATATTATTGTATAAAGCAAAAGGCTTTGCGAACCTAGAGACTATGACTACCACTCCATAAATGAGAAACGAGGCTTTCAAACGAACCAATAATCAAATTATCGTACCGAAGTCGATGTGCAAGCAAGCCAAGCAGTTTGCGAGGCAATGTTTCGCTCACTGTCTTTACTTCCCTGACTGAATTAGATTTCGGTTCTGGCTAAATGTTTGACTTCCTTTTTCCTTTTATTTCTCTTAGCCTCGACCATGCCGGCAGTCATTACCTGCCACTTGTCGCATTCTTCGTTTTCCTCTTCAAATCTGTCTATCCGTGATTTATATCGAATTTCATTTTTTTTTTCGTTTTCGAATCAAACTTTGTCGGGACTTGATCGAATCCTCTCTTTTCCGTTCTTTTTGTTAGGTACATCGTCCAGAAGATCTTCAACAGATCTCTGATATTACAGGTCGAAGTCTATGCAAAATGTTCGGAATATCGAGCATAGGATAAAAAGAAAAGGATAGAAAAAAAGAGAAAGATGAACTAGACATTGCGGATCCAGAATACCGTGTACGTGGAGGAAGAAAAAGAGAAAGCGAGTATTTAGAGAGTGTACATTGCAACGTGCATTCCTCTAGGGAGATTGCCGAGTTTCCTTGTCAACATGGTGCATCTTCCGCATGATAAATAAAGGCCGGTAATATTGTCGCATAAAAGTACCTACGTTGTGTATACTATGTATAGGATTTTAGACTACAGTAGACGGCTTTCACTACGAAGATTTCGAGAATTGCGAAGGGCAGCCGCTGTAAAAATATGTGCAAGTCATGCCACAACGAAGCTCTCACGTAGATATATGTGTATATCTCTGTATACGCGTGTACGTGTGTGCACGTACACTCTTCGTTCAAAACAATGCCCTACCGTGAAATAAAAAGAGCCGTGGGGTAAAAAATATTCTGATACTGCACCGTGCAAATGGACGACGAATAAATCGCGAGAGAAACGTGAAGAGACATAGAAAATACAGGAAACCGTCACAGGGAACATTACTGATAAAGACGATATTATCAAAGGACATATTCTCTCTCTCTCTCTCTCTCTCTCTCTCTTTCTTTCTTTTTTTCTCTTCTAGTTGTCCGAACAATAGATTTTTTGTTTTGGTTGTTGATCTCATACTATTCTATCCAGATCTATATATATGCCCAGGAGGGCATATATATCGTGTATCTATTATTTTGTGTAAGATAGCAAATGTTATGTAATTTTATTTTTTTTTTTTTTTTTTTATAGACTGAAAATATGTTCGTATCTGAAAAGTCATTTTTATTATTGTTATTGATTATTACGAAAAACTTGAATATCTATGTGATACTTTTTATATTTTTCTCTATTGCAAAGTCTTTTATAGTCTTCTTATATCCCAAAGAAGATGCATCTCCACGTTTCTAGCTGGGAAATTATCAGTTTTTTATTGAATTCCATTGAGATACAAGTTTCACTACAAACTTGAAATTTATTGATTTTTAGAACAATTTGCGATATGATAAAGAATAATGTGACGTTAAGTAATGGACTCTGTTATCTGATTTGTATCCACGTTACAATAATTCTTAGTAATCAAGCTTTTGTTTGATGGATATCGTGCGATCAAAAGAATTCATTTGGTGATATGATATTAATGAAATTTTTCGCTACAAAATGTCGTGATTTTTCGATTGATGAATAAATTGATTTTAAAATAATAGATAAGCCAGTTAGATATTTCGTTATGTTTTAAAAACAAATCTGTTTTTATTGTCTTAGGAAAGAGTTTTAAATTAAAACACAATGGCCGTAGTGATATTTTTATTCGGTATTACAAATATTATTAATAAATCAAGATTATAAAATTCAAGATAAGAGAATAATATGAGTTACAAATAAACCTAACTTTGTCAACGAAGAAGAAAGAAAAGTGAAATAACTCCTTTTCTTTTTTAAATATTTCATGTAGAAAAGTCCATTCTTTGAAAAGAACTCAGTTCTTTACAGTATACACTAGCTCGTGTTTAATGAACATATATTTACATTTTGAATATTACATCAAAGTAGAACTGCCATTAATTTATTATTTATCTAATCTAAATGTTTTAATATATATATATATATATATATATATATAATTTTATATATTTAATTAAATGTATATTATTATTATTATATATATATATATATATATATATATATATATATGTATATATATTATTATTCGATCATATGCTTGTATTGTTTTTAGTTTTATAATGTCTTATAAATTAATTATTTGGTTAACTGAAAATTCACAGCTTAAAGGGTTAAAACCAGTTACGTTAAAGTTAAATTTTTCGAAGGAGTATTCGACTGCAAGCACTGAACCCACTTTCTTCTATTCTCCGTGCGAAGATTACGTAAGATAGAGTAAACTTCGAAAGTTTTCAATGTAGGATTGCTCTGTCATGGATTTTAGATCGCTATGAAACTACAGTAGTATAATGGAGTGACTTCTTCATTAAGCAGAACAATCATGAGTGCAACTTCCTTGAAATTTTTTTTTCATCACGTTATCACTCTCGATTGATTGAATTTACTGGAGAGATAAACGTTCATTCGAGTAAGTTCTTGAACAAATCATTCGTCGACACCTTCAAAAATATAAATAATTCGATTATGTTTTATTCAAACGGTTAAACAATAGCAACGGTGTAAAAAATATGAGCTCATTTTGCATTTGATTCGAGATAGGTGCATACACATAGACTAGCTCATTAAGTCAACCAAACTCATTAAATAGTCGTAGCACTAGCTCGTTAAATCCATGTAATTATTCATCTTGAAGTCTGGCAGCATTGTTTCAATCCATAGAGGATTCTATTGTCTCATACGATACTAAAAGACAGAGGGAGGGAGGGAGAGAGAGAGAGAGAGAAGGGAAGAATGGACAAAAAAAGAGAGAATCGTTTGCAGTAAAGATTTTCGTCTGCAGTTTCGATATACAGTATATTCTTAAAAATATTGTCAGAATGTGCTTATATCATAAAAAGTCAAAAGTCTTAAGACAATTGAAATTTATCGCGAAATTTAATATTTTACATTTTATTTATCAGCCCTTGTAGATTTTGTATTATCAATTTAAGCGAGATAATTGTCTATCCGATATTATCGGGCGATTATCTCTATCGCATTTATATGATGAATGTGCTCAAAATTAATATAATACATATTATAGATTGTGATAAATAACGACAAAAAAAAATCAATGTTTAACTCGAATCCATTTTCGTCTAATTTATTATACAATAAAAGATCTTTTCAATTTAATTTAGAGATTAGGCAAATTTTAATCATCCTTATCTAGAATTACATTCGTATAAATGATAAATTAAAATTAATGATCGATGCTTATATAAAAAAGTCACCGACAATGGCGCGTCGCGTTAGGTAAGGACATGTGTGTTATATAAGAACATGTGAGCAAAGGTAGTACGTCCGCTAGAAAGCTTCCAATATCGAGCTATGTGGAATGTAAGTAAACTCGGTCGTGAAGGCTAAAGCTACGACACGCTTGTCTCTGTCTCCATTATATGCAAATTTCTACGAGTTGCACCGAAAACCTCAACATCGTTAACCTTCGAAAGTCATCGTTTAGGTTTCGCAAGAGACTTCGAAAGAAACAACATGAGAACAAGCTAAGGTCTTTGGAAAGAGTCATCGAAGATGACTCGTAAAAAGATAAAAGACTGGTAAAAAAATCGTCCTTAAAGATATTTTTTCATTCGAACGACAAATTTTACTTTAACTTTTTTGATAAAAACAAATTACCGATATGATAAAAGAAACTTTGTACTTTGTTCGATAACGAAACAGAAATGACTTAATTGAACGTTCATATAATCGGACCTTATCATTTTATCTGATTTGCCAAAAATAATACCTTAATACGCAATAAATAAATGTAATATATTTTTGTATAACTAAAAGAATGATTAAATAAAATAATATTATTTGAATAGTTATAAAATGGCAGTTTCCATTCGTTAATACTGAAGTATTATTAATCCATTGAAATCACTTAATGTTATGTATATATCTACGAAAACTTTGTTACATTTTTTTGAGAAACATAATCGAACTTTTGTACAAATGTTAATTTGTCGAGAAGTTGTCTGTATCTCAATTCGCATTGATCTCGTTTTAAACAATTGGTTTATTTTTTTTATCAGAAGTGGACGTTTCCATTTGTAATCATCCTGAATTCTTACAATCAATGACTTATGATAAACTACTTTTTACGAAACTTTATTTATGATAAAGTAGATATCTGAATCTTGGATATCGAGATAGAGAGATTGTGATAAAGAAACGCTGCAGAATAAATAAATTTCATTTCTAATTGAACCACGACAAAACAGATTGATCTTCTCGAATCATCGGTAAGTCGATCTTTCTATGATTTATTGATTCATGCTTGATCGGCTTGCTTCAAATAAATACAATGGGTTCGGATTTAAAAAAAATTTCACGTTTTCTTCTTTATTTCATTTTAATTGATTTTAATTTCGCGAATAACAACAATGATAATCGTTCAAAAGACGAAATCGATGATGCTTCAGTATATAGATTACCAAAAAATGTAATTCCAATTTCCTATGATCTACGAATATTAACAAAATTGGCTGCAAATGACTTTCACTATGAAGCCGAAGTTCGGATAACGCTCAATATATTGGAAAAAACAAATACAATAATACTGCATGCTCATAAGCTAAGAATAGATAAGGATAAATCTTGTTTATACAAAGGAACCGATAAAATTTCAATTGACCATCAATACTTCGATACAAATAGACAATTCTATATCATCAAATACATGAAATATTTAGAAATTGGACAATATATTTTGGTTCTTTCTTTTGTGGGAGAAATTCAGGATGATGTATTTGGATTTTACAGAAGTTCCTACGAGGTGGATGGACAAAAGAAGTGAGTCCATTACATGTTATTTATCATTACGTTTTATTTATTTGCATCAATTATTTCCAGATGGATTGGTATAACTCAATTCTCACCTACTTACGCTCGGGAAGCGTTTCCGTGCATGGATGAACCGCACTTAAAAGCGACATTTACAATAAGCATTGGTCATTACTCTAATCAAACGGCCACTAGTAATACTGATATAAAAACGGTCGAGGAAGTGTTAGTATAGATTATAATTTAATATAGTAGGTAGACAATTTTTATATATCTTAAATCAAGGTATTCAATTTGAACATTTGTAGCGATACGTATTATCGTCTTACGACGTTCTTGACTACTCCACGGATGTCAACGTATCTCGTCGGATGGTCGGTACATGATTACGTAGTTGAAATTTCAGAATCCTCAAGAGATTTTAAAATCTGGACAAGAGACAGCATGCGATCTCATGGTAGCTTTGCCTTGAATCAAGGCTTGTTAATTTATTCAGCTTTACAAGATTGGATGAAAGTGGAAAATCCGATAAAAAAAATGGATCAATTTGCTGTGGCTGATTTCAACTTTCGCGCTATGGAAAATTGGGGTATGATAACGTATCGCGAGTCGATAGTCCTATTTCAGAACGGAACGATTCCAACGAGAAAAATGGTTGATGGCTTGGCCACTATGGCACATGAATATGCGCACACGTGGTTCGGGAATTTGGTAACGCCAGAATTTTGGAATGTCGCTTGGTTAAAAGAGGGCTTTGTCTCATACTTCCAATATTTTGGAGTCTCTTTGGTACAACCAACATGGAAAATGATGGATATATTTGTCGTTGATTACGTTCAACCGACTCTTCTCTCGGATTCTGTGAATCATGATAGATCCATGAACAGTCAAAACGTCGGAAGTCCTAGCAGTATCATGGCTACGCTAGATTTTGTTACTTATAGAAAAGGTTCATATTTTAACTCGCTTTATTTTAAAAGTATCTGCATAAAACGAAATGTTTATTCTTGTCTATAGGAGCGTCCATAATTCGAATGATAAAACATGCGTTTGGTGAGAATGTCTTTCAGAAAGGATTGCATCATTATTTAAGCGAAATGTATGTGATTGAAGGACAAATGTGTTTTAGTAATCAAACGAACGAAATTAATCAAGATACGTTTAATAAACATTTTAGGTCGTATCGAGCGGCTAGACCATACGACTTGTATCGTTATTTACAGAAAGCTATTGATACGTCATCAAATAGCACGAAGGACCGTAAATTTGTCAAGGACGTTGTCGAATCTTGGGCAAATCAAGTGGGATATCCTTTGATAACGATAACGCGAAACTACACGAGACATTGGGCATTGGTATCTCAAGAACGATTTTATCTCAATCGAGACACGAGAAAAATCAACAACAACGATAAAGAACGCACATGGTGGATACCTCTGACCTTCGCTACGAGGTCGTCTATCATCGATTTTCAAAGGATTCGCCCGAAGCTCTGGCTGTGCCCTTGGGATAAGAGGACGATGATTTCGAACTTTCGCGACACCGATTGGGTGCTCTTCAACGTCCAGCAAATCGGATTCTACCGAGTCAATTACGACGAGACCAATTGGAAAATGCTTATTGATCACCTTAGATCAAAGGAGTTTATCTCCATTCCCTCGGTGAACCGAGCGGCTCTCCTCGACGATGCTTTTAATCTGGCAAGAGCAGGATATATAGATTATTCGATTCCATTCGACTTGTCCAAGTATCTTAAGAGAGAGATGGACTACGAGCCTTGGCTCGCCGCCGTTAATAATTTCATGTTTCTCAATCGAATCCTGAATAAAGTATCGAAGATTCATAAAGCGTTCCAGGTAAAAAAAAAAAAACTTAAGAAGCGCCTAATATAGATTATTTATCGATACTCTTTTTTTTTCGATATTTTATTTTCAATATATTTTTTTCGATATTGTTGAGAAATTCAACCAAAAAATCGGTTTATCGTAAATTTTGTTTTTTAGAAATACGCGGAAAATCTGATTCTGCCTATATACGAGTTATTGGGATTCACGGAGGATTCGTCCGATAACGTCCGGACAAAACTTCAACGGGAGATAATATTATCGGCTTCGTGCGCGCTAAATAACGCTCACTGCCTCGAGACATCGAAAATGTTATTTAATTCGTGGATATCATCGTTGAATGAAACGTAAGAAAGAAAAAACATTTAAAAAATCCATTTTAAACGTTTATTTATTTAATTGATATCTTTTCATCGATTTATTTAGAATATTACCTGATTTGAAAAGTTTCGTCTATTGCATTGGCATACGTAACGGGAATGATGAGGATTGGTTTACAATGTGGAAAAAATATCTCGATGCAGATTTACATATCGAACAAGAACTTTTATTGTCTGCACTCGGATGTAGTCGAAATCCTATTTTATTGAATAAGTAAGTTTCATAGCGTCAAGTAGTTATGTACAAATGAAAACTCACAAATGGTAACTTCTTGACAGATATCTGAATGTATCGATTTCTCGAAATTCGACAATTCGTAAGCAATACAGATTTTCGATAGTTACTGCTGTTACGAATGGTAATCCAGAAAATGTCGATCATACTTTAGAATTCGTTGAAAACAATCTCGAAAGCATTATTGATTCGTACGTATTCGAATGTTTATAGAAGTTAAAACATATGTAGATATATTTTTAAACGATAAAATAACTATTATTATTTTTTGAATAGACGAGGATACGATTTCTTAGGTAAGATATTTATTTCTATAGGAGAGCATATGACAACTACAGAACAAACAAACAAGGTGATCAAATATTTTCTTACTATCACGAATACGATGAATAGTCGTATGAAGAATGATAATATTAAATTGTATATATTTAATTTTTATAGCTTCGTCGTTTCATCGATCAAAATATAAAACGTCTAGGATCGGCCTCGAAAGCAGCAGAGAAAGCAATTGTTTCTGCCGCTGAAAACGCAAAGTGGGTTGAAAAATATGCGCCTCTCATTGCTACAAATCTCTGATTTAATTTGTAAATGTAAACTAAATATACAAATTTTGTAAAAAGTTTTCACTTTTATACGATAATCTTATTAAAGTTCAATTATTGTGGAATTTACTAAAACTCCCAAAAAAGGGATTATGGAATAGAAAAGATTTTAATTAAATATATTTTAATAAAATTTTGTAATAAAAAAATATTTTAATAAAATATATTTGGAAAATATTTCTTCCTAATGAATTTTTTCCTTTTAATTAATATATATATCCTTGAGTATATCTGAACGTTTTCTATTCAAGTTCTACCCCTTATCATCTCAACTAGCTATTCAAACTTTCTGCCGAGACGCTACTTGTTGATATCGATTGACTTGGTTAAGCGGATAAAACTATTGTAACAAATGGAATCTCCCTTATGTGCACATTAAATGGATCGTTCGTAATAAATAAGTTGATTTTTTGTCTGGCATTCTATCTTTGAAGATTGACAATGGATTATCTATTTATATTTACAAAGAAAATATTTAAGACTTACGTACACATATATAGAAATATTAATGATCGTCACTTATTGGTGCAATGACATAGATATCCGTTGAATCATACCTAAAATGAGACCTGATAAATGAATTTCCAATGCTGAATAACATACGCGAACGCCAGCTTTTAATCTAGTTTAGATAAAAAAGATATACGATTGTTATTGGAGAATACAATTTAGTACTATAGCATGGAATATCGTGTGTCGACAATGATACAATGATACAACGATAATTTATATGGATATTTGTAGCTATCGTACTTTTAATTCTTCTTTTTTTTTTATTAACTCCTTATAAATATTTATTATTTGTTATGCAAAAATAATTTTCTTATAGATTCCTATAATTAGATGTAACACAAGCGAAACCAAAATAACGATAAATTTATTATTTGTGAACGTAAAAAATTACGTCTTTTTCAACATTTTTTACATATAAATTTTAACGATTATTTCAACGACGTTGTCGATAAGGCAACGAATCTTACCGGGTTTCGCGCTTATCTACACGTCCGCTGTTCATTGGTCGGATTCTATTGTATTTGAATTATCGCTTAATCGTTATCTCACTGATGAAACTTTTCGGGAACTTTTTGGCGAGTTTTCTAAAAAATAGACCACTTACTGATCATCTCTCGACGAATATAATATCATTTACTGCGAAGGAACAGAGCGATAAGATTAGAGAAGGGATTGACATCATTTACACGACGGAGACATCGATACTGGTTTATAAAGCACGAAGATTTTTGCCGTTAGGCTTTTAATAAGCAATCATCGATACGAGGGTCATAACGGCAACTCTCTTCATTTCCAGTTTATCTTAAAGGTATTAGTTCCTTCTTATATCATTTATACGCATTATATATTTATTTTAAACTTTTTTATTTTATTTTTCAAAAGTTTTTCATAAATTCGGTATTTTCTTCGAATTATATATCATCTATTAATTAAACGTGTAATTAAAAGTGTATTTTATTAATTAATCATATTGTAAAAATTAGAAGACTGGATCATTGCAGAAGGGAGTACCGTTACTTTTTGCCAAAATGGCTTCCATGAGAGTGTTAATACCGTTGGCATTGCTCGTGGTGATAACACTGGCCGAATATCCATCATCGAATAAGACTATATTCTTGGATAATGAAATTATCCAATATGAGGAAAATGGAGCAAGTCCTGAAGAAAACAAAACGTCTGGAAATTTTGAGACTTTTATTGATGAAGAAGATTCTAGTTATGCAAAGGAGGAAACAGTTGTTTACAGATTACCTTCTATGATTACACCACTTCATTATGACATTCACTTGGAAATAAACTTAACGAAATTCCAAGAAAATTATTACAAATATAAAGGAACGGTTACGATAAATTTGGAAGTAACAACAGATACGAATAAAATCATGTTACATTGTGATAAATCATTCCTTGAGTTGGGTACGCCAACATTAAAAAATGAGACGAAAATATTTAATGTTACAATATCTAATATAAACAATAATAATATTGTGACACTTAATGTAGAAAAGATATTAACTTCAAATAATTATACTTTAACATTGCCATACATTGGAACAGTAAGTGATAAGAATAGAGGATTTTATAGGGGATCTTACTTAGGTGAAGACGGCAAAACGAGGTAAAAAATTAAAAAAAAGGACAATATTAGTCTGATTAAATTTATATGTGGAACATTATCATTTTTTATTTGATCCTATTAACCACTATTTTACGTTTTAATTATATATAGATGGTATGTTGCGACACATTTTGAATCAATCAGTGCACGAAGCGCATTCCCATGCTTCGATGAACCAGCTCTAAAGGCAACCTTCAAGCTTTCGATAACATATGACAAAGGATACACAGCGATCTCGAATACAATCGGAGAGACGAAAGAAGTTAAAAATAATCAACAAATGACAAGTTTTAAAACAACTCCAAAAATGTCCACGTATCTTATAGCATACGCGATAACAGCTGATTTTAAATCGTATAATAAAAGTAATATAATGGTATATTCAAGACCAAAACCTACTGCAGATAACATGACCGAATATGCTGCAGAAATTAGTGAAAAAGTGTTGACACAATTGGAAAAATATACTGACATCAAGTATTCATCTATGATGGAAAAGATGGAACAAATTGCTCTTCCTTTATTGGCACCGGGTGCAATGGAGAACTGGGGTCTCGTGACGTACAGGCAAGCAAAAATATGTTCTCGATATTTTGTAAGATCCTTTTTGTAATACTAATTCATGAGTTCTATTAACAGAGAAACTGCCATTCTCTACAACGAGAATGTAAACGGAACTTTCGACAAGCAACGTGTGGCAAATATAATCGCTCACGAGTTTACACATCAGTGGTTTGGAAATTTAGTCACCCCTGAATGGTGGAATTATATTTGGCTTAACGAAGGATTTGCTACTTATTTCGAATACTTTATCATCGATAAAGTAAGAAATTGACACGATTATGAAGATTAAACGATTTTATTTACATCGAGAGATAATATGTTACAATGCTTTACAGATCTATCCTGACTGGCGTTACATGGATCAATTTAACGTACTATCTCTTCAAACTAAAGCATTCCATTATGATGGGGATGGAGAAAAGACACGATCTATGAATAGCTATGAAAAGAGCGAAAATGAAATTAACGATTTATTCGATGATATTGCTTACGACAAAGGTAGTTATCCATCGAAAAGTATATTTTATATCAATTAATTATTATATAAGACTAATTTATTATAGCTGCTGCTGTCATCCGCATGTTCTCTCATGTCATTGGAGAGGATAAGTTTCAGAATGGTCTACGAGAATATCTTAAGACAAAGTAAGCAGATTTAGTCATTAATGTTTATCGTCGTCGTGAAAAGAAATATAGAATTTGCTATTTAGAAATTCCTATTTGTTACTTCAGCCATTACAATACAGTGAATCCAAAGACTCTTTTCAAATCTCTCAATGATGCCGCAGACAAGAAGAATTTTATAGATATTGACTTGGTGTCATTTTTTGAACATTGGGCCAACCAATCAGGATACCCGGTAATTACAGTGACTAAGAATAGAAAAGGAAATGAGACATCGATCACTGTAGAACAAACCCCGTTTTATTTGGTAAAACCTACAGAAGAAAATTTATCTAAAAATAAGACCTGGTATATTCCTCTGAACTATGTACAACAAACAGAACATAAGAATTTTAATGATACTTCCGTTAAATCTTGGTTGAAACTTAATGAGTCATCGATATCAATTAAAGATAATATCCAAGAAAATGGTTGGATTATCTTTAACGTGCAACAAACTGGTAAGCATTACAGAAAAACCAATTGTATAAATATTTCATTTTTTCTTGGTGTTCTAATTTTGCTTTATGTGTACTGCTTTATGTCTTTATATCTATTAAGGATATTATCGTGTCAATTATGATATGGAAACATGGAGTGATATCATTAAATATTTGGGCACGGATGATTTCATGGATATTCATTCTTTGAACCGTGCTCAATTGATCGACGACGCTTTTCATTTGGCATATGCTGATCTTTTGAACATCTCTGTCAGTTTGGATTTAATCAAGAATCTCGAAAAAGAAACCGATTACATCGTATGGAAGTCAGCGTTCAAGATTTTATCGAAGTTGAACAATATACTGGACCGAACAGAATATTACAGTTACTTTTTGGTACATTTAATTATATTACGTATTATTTCGGTTTACATTAATCACTCAACTAAAATTTAACGTCGTTTCATTTATTGTTTCAGAATTTTATTCGTCCAATTACTCAAAAATTATTTATTAATCTGAAGCTCTTTGAAAATAAGAATGAAACACATCTGGAAAGTCTTCTTAAGATAGATGCCGCAAAATGGGCTTGCGACATTGGATTAGAATTTTTAGAAAACTATTCTATTCAACAATTTAATCTGTGGTTAAATAAAGCTGAAAATGCTGCGTATGTATTCTTTGTTTCCTACGTTAAATTTTAATTTGTAGAAATAAGATATCAAATATTTAACAATCTAATTCGTGATCGTTAATTGTTTTCAGTATTCCTCGAGATTTGAAAAAAGTAATATTCTGTGCAGCCTTAAGGAAAGCCAATGAGACTGTTTGGATAAATACTTTGAACAAATACATACTATCTAAAGACGTTGAAGAGAAGACACTAATTCTTTCATCCTTGGGTTGTTCTTCATCACCGAACATTTTGAAAAATTTCCTTGATATAACTGTTCAGGAAGATTCTAATTTCATAAAACAATTGCCGGAAGTTTTTCGAACAATATACTCCAACAGTCCTGTTGGTCTTGAAATTGTTCTTGATTTCCTTTCCGAAAATATTGATAAGTTGCAAAAATAGTAAGTTTTTCGAAAAGATCAATAGGAAATAATATAGAAGATGAATAAGAAATACTAATCTAGATATATAATAATCGAATGTTTCATTTTCTAGTGATGGAAACTTCAACAACAATATAGTGAATATATTTACCGAACTTGCAAACAGAATTGCTATTAATAAGGATATGGGCACGGTTAGAAAATTATATTTCTTTCTCTCTTTAAAGTATAGCAGTATTTAATATTTATTTATTTATTAATACTATATTTCTTTTTTAGCTAAATGAAATTAACTTTCAACTAGTTAAAATTATAGGACTGGAGGATAAATTGAACCAAGGTGTGGAAATTGCAAATAGAAACAATCTATTCTTCAAAAAGCATGATGAAAACATTCAGAAATGGTTAGGATATTTGACTGAAAATCAAACTGTAACAACTTCTAAACCAAATAGTGCTAATTCTTTTAGCTTTAGCATTGCCCTAATGACTGTATCTTTATTACTCGTAAAACTACGTTAATAATCTTTTTAATTTTTACATTATTTGCACGATTTATAATAAATGATAAAAAAACCACTTCATCGTATATTAGCCATTCGATTTTAGCCAACGAAATGTATTGTTGTTTTAACTACAATAATGTCGTTTAACTTTTTTGTATGTACATACATAAAGAAACAAAGTGTTACTAACGTTAAAAATTTGTTACTAATGTTAAAAATTATTTTAACATAAATTTTTTACTGAAGAAACGTGCACAAAGTTGTCTAGTTAATTAAGTGAATAACAAGTGGTCTATAAAATTATATCTATTATATAAAGCATCGACATAATATATGTGTGTACACATGTAGGTATATTTATATATGTACATATAAATGCATGTATGTTATATACATGGAAAGTTCCATAATATGATTGTAAATACCAGCTTGTTCCACCATTCATATTAATATAATTTAACTTAATAAATTACTATTATTTTATTAATATGATCTATTAATTTTATTCAAATCTAATTAATTCTCAACTTTCTTCTTTAAATATTTTTATAAATATATATTGATTGATATATGTGTATGTGTGTATGAGCTTCATAAAGAAATAATAGGTATAAATAAATTTTGTAATTAACAATCCTGAAACAAATCTGAAATCATAAGGAAAAATATTATAAATCACATTATACGTCAAGATTTAAAATTCATGTAACTATGAATACGGTTTTAATAGACAATCGTATTTAGTTATCTATCTACAAGCGCATGCGCGATTATATAAAAAAGGACAGAGTTCAAACTTGTGAATTATTCAATCGGTTAGTGCATGCGTGGTTTATTTCCTATTTTTCGTGTTGAAAATTGCATCGGGAATCATAAATAAGAAGAGTTATCACAAGTAACTACGAGACCACCAATAACGACAGCTTTGTTTTTTTCTTGAGTTCCAACTATACAGAAGATAATAATATTTATTCGATAATAATCACAGATAGTACATTGAAAGGTGATTTTCCAGGAATATATTCAAATCGATTTACTTTTAAAAATGTTACCAATATTTCTCAATAAATTTTTAATATAATATATATAGTAGACAAAAATGATTAATTCGATTATAAAAATCATTATTTATTTTGTATTCTTTTGGGTAGATGACAAAAGTTAAAGCATTACTTGCTTTGATTCTATTATTGGCCAGAAATTCAAGGACACTTCCTCCCGAAGATGAAAGTTCGGAGGAAGATGGAAACATGGATGAGGAACTACCGGAAGCTTCATATCGTTTAAGTAACAACGTGATACCTATACACTATGATATTAAATTAATACCGTATTTGGATGAGGATAATTTCACCTTTGACGGTGAGACAAACGTCCGTTTTAATCTACAAAAGGTGACACAGACTTTGGATTTCCACGCTAAAGAATTAACATTCGATGAGACTGATACGTATGTAGAAGGCGAAGATGGTCAGAAATACAAGCCGATTGTATTCACGTACGTCAACGCAACAGAAATCATGAAGATAAGTTTCGAAAAATTTATGCAAAAAGGTTTGTACACATTCCACGTCAAGTTCACGGGTATTCTCAACGATGAATTGTCAGGATTTTACAGGAGCTCTTATACGAATGATAATGGCGAAAGAGTGTGAGTTAAAAAGAAAGAACATTTTAGAAATTCTTATTAATTATTATAGAATCTTATTTTATGTAATATTTTTATAGATGGCTAGCAACAACACAATTCCAAGCGACGTCCGCTCGACGAGCTTTTCCATGTTGGGACGAACCCTCTTTGAAAGCGACGTTCAATGTTTCCATAAAACATCAAACAAACTACACAGCCCTCTCGAATATGCCGATTTACGAGCAATCGATGATAGACGAAAATGATGGAAAAGTCTGGACACATTTTCAAAAGACTCCCATTATGTCCACTTACATCCTAGCTTTCGTGGTATCAGATTTTGTTAAAATATCGAATACTGATGGTACAATTAATGTTTGGTCGAGAAAAGACGCCATTCCTTTGATTAACTTCGGTTATGAGGTCATTCAAAAGGCTGTTGTCCTTCTCGAAGAATACACGAATAGTTCGGTGCGTGTACCAAAAATGGATCACGTCCTTATTCCTAATTTTCTTCACGGAGCCATGGAGAACTGGGGTCTCGTAACTTACTTGTAATCACTCTCAATAAGCCTATTAATAAGAGCATATCTTCTGTGTTTCATTAAATGTCCTCTTTTACGATCGTTACAGGGAAGATAATTTCCTATACAATCCGAATAAAAATTCTCTGAAGGAAAAAACTTGGACAGCGATGGTCGTTAGTCACGAATTAACGCATCAATGGTTCGGTAATGTTGTTAGCCCTACTTGGTGGGATCACGTTTGGTTAAACGAGGGCTTCGCATCGTTTTTTCAATATTATATTACGGATAAGGTACGTAGAGAAAATTACATTAATCCTAGAGAGCATGATGATTGTGATGTGTTTTTTTTTTGCAGATATTTCCACATTGGAAATTGATGCAATCATTCGCGTCTAGTATGCAACAACATAGCTTTAGCATCGATGTACATCCCAACGATAAGCCCATCGGTCGGAATGTGAGTAAACCTAAGGATATCGAGGATCTTTTCTCCAGTGTACAATATATGAAGAGTAAGTAATCGAAATAATGTGATGTCTATTGTCGAATGATCGAAAGAAATTGCTTATTCTTTCGTTCATAGCGCCGTCTTTATTGCGTATGTTATTGCACGTTGTCACTGACGAAGTGTTTCATACCAGTCTCATTAAATATCTTCAAAAATAGTAAGTAGAAAAATAATGATAATAACGTTAATCGTTTAATCAATTTTTCAATAACATATTTCTTAACTATTTGCAGTCAGTACAGTAACGCTCTGCCCGACGACTTATGGTATCAAATTCAAAATGGTGTAGATGAGACACCAGAAATATCACGCGGCAAATTTCGCGTAAAAGAAATGATGGATACTTGGATATATCAAAGTAGTTATCCTCTCGTAACAGTAGATAGAAATTATATCACTGGCGAGGTAATGATCACTCAAGAGATTATTAAACATCACGTTAGTACCAACAATGTGACTTCGACTGACAAAAATGATATAAGTAAGCGCAATAAATGGTGGATACCTATAAATTATGCAACAAGAACGAATACCAACTTTTCATCTACGCTACCTGTTTACTGGTTGAATCCAACGAACGATAGCATTACTATCAATGGTATCGATACTGATGATTGGATATTATTAAACGTACAACAAACTGGTATGCAAATTAAAATCTATTAATAATTAAATAATTTTCTAATAAAGAAAGAGGATCGATAAATGATATCTACTGATCGATAAATGATGACTATCTTTAGGACATTATCGCGTTAATTACGACGACGCAAATTGGATAAAGTTGGCTAACTATCTAAACTCACCTGACTACGAAAAGATACACGTTATTAATCGAGCACAAATCATTCAAGATTCTTATAACATGTTCATTATGAAGAAGATAAATTTAACGATATTCTTAGAGTTGTCTAATTATTTATCACACGAAGTGGATTATATCGTATGGTGTCCTATCTTCGATATATTTATTAGATATGTGGGAAGTTTGTTAGAAATCACCGAATGTAGCGAACTTATTCAGGTACAAATTTGTAATAATTTCAATATTATTCATTTTCTATTCGTTTTCATTCTTTAACTTTCGATTACTAATTTTCCAGCCGTATATTCTGAACTTAATGAATAAAGTTATAGACAGTGTAGGTTTTGATATTAATCCTGACGATGATTATATAACTCAATTGACAAAAATTGACATTAGAAAATGGGCTTGTCATTTTGATCATATCGGATGCATAATAAAAGCCAATGCCGAATTGATTGCACATTTAGAGTCTTCTAATGAAAGCGAGTAAGTTATCGAAAAGATTAAAGAATACCGATGATGTTATCAGGTAATATTTTTCAGTTATCCGTTATATTTGAAAGAATGGGTTTATTGCTATGGAATGAATAATGCAAACGAATCGACATGGAATAAGTTATTAGATATATACATGAACGATACTATGTCGATTGGACGTTCTTTGGCTTGCATCAAAAATATGACTCTCATTGAAAAGTATTTGAATATGACTATAGCGGAAAATTCGTCTTTCACCTCGGAAAATTTATGCGATATTTTTATATCTGTATTTTATAAAGGATCATATATAACAGATTTAATGACTGATTTTGTTATAAAACATTGGGACGTATTGAATTCTCGGTAAAGTTTATGAAATAATTTGTTTTGATGAAACAATTTTCTTGTTTATTTTTAAAACTCTTGATTATAATTTCCAGTTCAGATTTACAAACTCTGTCTAAGTTTATGATACTAACAGCAACGAGCAAAAATAAGTTACAAGAGGTCTGTAAATTTTGAGATGTAGAATCAACATTTACAATGATATGTTAACTTATTCCATTTCAGGTAAAATCGTTTTTGGAAAAAAAAGAAAGAATACTTAAAGAAGAGAATATGACGAAATTAATAAAGAAAAGAGAACAAACTCTTACAACTTATGAGCAAATATTAGATGAGTTTCGTGCATGGCGTAAAAGTAAAGAAAATATAAATTAAAATAATCCATAGTTCAATAGAAAATTAACATAAATTCTGCGTAAGTATCAAAGAATTAAATGATAGCCTTATTGTAAATTATTTTAATTTAAAATGAACTTCGTATCCTATATATAAATCTTTTCGAATTATCATAATTTTTAATTTTTTAAATAAGATTTAAATAAAATGATTGGAATGGAAAATTTGTAATTAGAATATTGCAAAAATTTATTATTTCCAGTTTTTCTATAGTGCGATTTTAAAGAATATCGTATCGATTCCTTTTCGCCTCTGACGATGCATTTACATGTCTACACAATGCGTATATAATGGTCACGTGCGTCATGCGGGCTATAGGTCATATGCGTAAATAATGCATATAATTATAAATGCTCTCTTCAACACAAGAATGAGCATCCCTCCCCTTATATAGCATTTCATGGTAATATTGATACTTACCATATAAGCGTCTTTCATATTCTGCACTATTCTCCAATTGATTAGACAGTGTCTTGTTAGAAGGCTAGACGATCGAACAATCTCTCGTTAATTCCGTAATTAATTGTGTCCCAAATTTATTGAATTCAAGAAAACGATCGAATAGAATGTTAGAAAAGTTAATAAAATTATTTTTCGTATTTGTTACCATCGAAGCATTTTCCCTTTCATCGACAAATCATAAAAATGTTACGATTGAAAGCGATACGATTGTTTATCGATTACCGACGAATATTGTACCAATACATTACGATTTGAAATTGGAATCGAATATCATGGTGGGTGATTTTAATTTTACCGGTGAAATTGACATTAAAATCGATGTTCGAGAGCCTACGAAGTTAGTAGTGTTAAATTGGAAGAATCTTACGATAAATGAAACGCAGAGTCATTTGGAAAAGGACAATGGCGAATCACTTTCACCGAAGGAGCATCGTTACGAACCGTATAGAGAAATGTTAACGCTCGTTTTTGACAAAATCATCGATCCTGCTGTTTACACTTTACATTTGAAATTCTCAGGCATTCTTTCGACAGATTTATATGGCTTTTTCCGATCCTCTTACATTAACGAGAACGGTGATACAACGTAAGTTTAATTTATCGCTAAATTAATGAAAAAATTGATAATGTATAATGTCGATTAGGTGGTTTGCGGTAACTCATTTTCAACCTATAAGTGCACGTCGTGCTTTTCCCTGCTGGGACGAACCAGCATTTAAAACAACTTTTAACATTTCCCTGAAACATCATGCCAATTATACGGCCCTTTCAAATATGCCAGTATTTGAACGATCGTTTACTGACGAAAGTAATGATACAGTATGGACTCGTTTCGAGAAGACTCCGATCATGGCAACCAATATCTTAGCCTTTATAATCTCCGACTTCGAATATATTTCTATACCCGAGAGAAACATTAAAATTTGGGCAAGGAAATCAGTCATTCCATCGATATATTTTTTACTCGAAGTCATTCAGAAAATAGATGACGAATTGAAAAAATACATGCCTAATTCTATAATGGTACCCAAAATTGATCATGTTGCTCTTCCTGATTATAGTAGCCAGGGCACGGAAAATTGGGGTCTTATCACGTATAGGTAAAAAATATCAAATCAAAAAATTTTTAATATACAATAAATTTAAAGATGCATAAATACATTCGACAAAATTAAATGAGATGTCTTGTTTCTTATAGAGAAAAATCACTCGTGTATAAAGAAAACGAAACTACCATAGATGAAATGGATAGGATCCTGATGCTAATTGCTCATGAATTGGCGCATCAGTGGTTTGGTAATCTGGTTGGTCCACGCTGGTGGAAATACATGTGGATGAGCGAAGGTTTTGCCGCGTACTTTCAATATTACATAACAGACAAGGTAGCATATTGCGATTATTTTATTGATTCATCTCTCTTTCTCTCTTCTACAATTTATAATTAAACTATATCGTTTTATGAACAGGCTTTCAATGACACACGAATGATGGATAAATTCCTCTTAGAAGCTATGCAAGAGATTGCCTTCCACGTGGATACCTGTCCGGATCAATCTCCAATGAATAACAATGTTAGTAAACCTTCGGACATTCCTTACATCTATTCCCTTATTACTTATCGTAAAGGTAAGTCCACTTTGCTAATTGATCAATTATTTTTAAGAATAATATGAATTTTGGTCTCTTCTTTCAGCACCAATTGTTTTACGAATGTTGTCGCATTGTATATCTGAGGAAATTTTCAAGGCCGGTCTTTTCAAATATATTTCTGAAAAGTACGTAAGACAATGATAAAAATGTCATTGTAATGGAAATAAAATCGATTATCTTGTATTTTCATGTCAGTAAATACAAGACCACTTTACCAGACGACTTATGGCGATCCTTCCAATTTGTTCTGAACCAGTCAAATGTGACACACGAGGATTTCGAAATAAAAACGATGATGGATACTTGGACGGAACAAGAAGGATATCCTACGATTGTCGTGAATCGAGATTACGATACCGGTACAGTGCAAGTGCGACAATTTAGTAGTAAGTCATCATCACCATCTAATCAAGTGTGTTATAACAAATGGTGGGTCCCTTTGAATTTTGCAACCCAAACTAATCCTGATTTTTCATCCACTTTACCGACACACTGGTTGAATCCATCGGAGGATACGAAAACGATCAAAAGTTTGCCTACGGATGGTTGGATTATTTTTAATATTCAACAAACTGGTAAACTTGCAATTATATGATAATATTAATTCAATTAAAATGCGACTCGTGATATTATTATTTATATTTTCAATAGGTTATTATCGCGTGCACTACGATCAAGAGAACTGGAAGAGAATCGCACGATATTTAAATTCCGATGATTACAAGAATATACACGTTTTAAATCGCATTCAAATAATTGACGATGCGTTTAACAGCGTAATGGAAAACGATATACCTATCTCTATCTTCGGAATGATAATAAATTATCTTTCGCAGGAAACCGATCCAATAGTGTGGAAAATTGTGTTTCGTATATTTTCACATATGAATTATTATATTCAAACTCCCAGAACTGCCGCTATTCTCAAGGCAAGTCTGAAAATATTTAATTAAGAAAATATTTTACTAATGAAATGTTTCTTTAATTACAGCCATATTTACAACGTCTTCTTAATGATAAATTAAAAGATATGGATTACAATGATAATCCGGAAGAAGATTCTTGGACGAGAAGAATGAAACAGATTATTAAACATATCGCATGTAAAATTGACGTTCCTGAATGTTACGGAAATGCCACTGCTCAATTAGTTGAATATCTTAAAAATCCAAAATCAATAATGTGAGAATTCATTTTCAGTGATACGATAAACATCTATCAGAAAGATGAAAAATTTCTTACATTTCGTAGTATACAACCAGATTCACAAAAATGGGTTTTCTGTTCTGGATTACGAAATGCGAACGAGTCTGTATGGAATGGAGTTTTAAATAATTACGTGAAAGATCGAAAAAGACAATTGTTAACATATCTCACGTGCTCGGAGAACCGGACTATTTTAAACAACTACTTGGTCATGACCTTTTCTGAAGATTCTCCAATTTCTAAATCTGATATCGAAACTGTATTAAACGATATGATGATTAAATCGGAGATCAGCTTTGATACACTGGTGGATTTCATTAGCAAGAATTTAAATGAAATATTTTTTACGTAATGACAAACGTTCTTTAAAGTTATGTTTACAAGAAATAATCTAACACGGTATATTATTTTTATTTTTCTTTATTATTTTTCAGAACGGATAAAATAGATAATATTCTTAATTCTATTTCATATAGGATTACTACGAGAGAACAACTTAAAAAGGTCGGATATTTACTAATCTCAATTTTGTTCCTTTTTTTTTTCTGTTGTTATTATTCAAAATTTAGATCAGAACGCATATAACAGGTACGATATTTTATTATAGATGATAGGTATATTTGCATCTAAAGGGAAGCCACTGAATAAAATGATATATTATTTTGAAAGGAAGTTGGTTCAAATCGATGAAATTATACCAATCGTTCAAGAGTTCGTTCAAACTGCAGTCAATTAATGTAAAACAATGACACAAATTTAACAAATAAATCCATCGAAATATCTATCTACCTCAATTTTACATATGTTACGTTTCATTATGTATCATTCAATATTTTATAAATTAATCAAGGTGCATCGTAGTAGAAAAAAATCGTCGAAAAAAGATTATAAACGTAGAAATGGTAGATATGATGCATCGATGAGTCAACCATGCGTCTTTACTGAGTAAAAAAAAAAAGAGAATGGGAGAGAAAGAGAGGGCAAGAGAGTATGTGGTAAAAAGAGAGAAATGAGGAAGAAGTGAATGGTAAGCTACATGTAGCAATGAATGAAAGAAGCATTCATAATCGTGAACAGTCGGCAATGCTCGGGAAGTTTCGTTATACATGTGATAATGTCGTCACAGCGATCGAACGAGATTTCTACTTTATGTTGACGCGTGTTGTGTGTGCTTCTTAACTTTCTGGTCCTCTTATTTCTTCATCATCTATCTACTTACCATAAACCTTTTTCCTTTTTCCCATTCAAAAATTATAATATCTAAGTAATTACTCGGCAGGTGTATAGTGCGTCGTATAAAAGCGAGAACGCCCAAGAAAGGTAGGTGGGTGACGCATGATGACAAGTGCTTTATCTCATTTAAAAAAGATAACCACGCTGCATTTATTATCGATCTTTTAGAAACAGAATACCCTTCTCTATCTCAATTTAATTAGATATTATAGATATCATATGATAATTAGATATACTTGAATTATTCCATGAAAATTTATTTAATATAACGATTCGAAACAATTTTTTATGATAAATCGAAACTGCAAGAAAATTTCTTTCGAGATCAGTCAATTTTCTAATAGCATCTTCTTTTTTTTTTTTTTTTTTTTTTTTTTTTTAATTCGATTTTGTGACATTAGGACTTTTTTCAACACTTCAAAGTTTCAAGTTTTCATTCGTATATGTATTTTCTAGATAAGGGTAAAAATTAAAAGCTATACGTCATAGGTGAGAAACTGGATGACCCACGCTCCCACTTACCTGCTCCGGTAAAACGATCGTTTACACTATTTGATATTGCCATATCTCATATACTACACGACTTTTATTTTTAAGTTTAAAATAATGGCTGTGTAAATTTAAATAGTGGGAGAATGGATTGAGACTGCGTGGCAAAGTTTCCCACCAATGCTATATGTTACTTTAATTACTCCTTCTTAATCTTTTCTGTTCGTGAAAGATCACATCAGTAATATATTTGAATTTGAAAATAACTTATATATAATCAATCATCAAAAAAATAAATCTCCTCCGATAATCACTCCTTTCGATTCATGGAATTGGATAAGAATCTAATCGCACAAGTTTGCAGCAAGAAATAAATTACTGAGAAATGAATGTCAATTATTCTTTTTATAATAAATATCGCCAATTTAATGGAAATCCTCGCAAATTTTATTATCTTATTTACAGCTGTCACGATGTTTACAGTTGATGATAATAATCAGAAAGCCAATCGATACAAACCGGAGAAAATTAATTATCGTTTGCCAGATGCCGTACGGCCGACGCATTACAATATCAAGTTGACATCAACCTTTTCAATCTTTGACGGCGAAATATGTATTGATCTTGAAGTTCGGAAATCAACGTTCGATATAACATTGCATTGTAAACAAATCGTCGTAGACAAAACTACGACGATGTTGACAAATTCTAAAAACGAACCTTTAATTCCGATAGAACAAGATTACGTCGATGAAAAAGAATTTTTCATAGTTCGTTTTACAAATGCTTTACAACCAGATTGTTACAAGCTTCATTTCAAGTTTAACGGCTTTATCGACAATGATAATCACGGTTTTAATAGGAGAATTTGTACAGAAAAACAAGATAGTTGCACGTACGTAAAAAAGTTCACAATTCTTAAAATAATCTTTATCTCTTATCTCGTTATCTTGATATCTTAAGGAGAAAACTATCGAAACAGAAATCGATTAGAGAGAATGGGATACTTATTAAAAATAAAATCTTTTAGACGATATGCTGTGACGAATTTTAAAACGATCTTTGCACGTCGTGCTTTTCCCTGCTTCGATGAACCTGATATGAAAGCAACGTTTTCCATTTCCATAAAGCATCAAGCATTATACATCGTTCTTTCGAACATGCCGATCAAAGAACGATCACTGATCGATGAAGAGGGAAACATATGGACACATTTTCAAAAAACACCGATTATGTCCACGTACTTGTTAGGTATCGTTTTATTACCATATGATAGTACATGCATTTCTAATCACGATGGTACGGTTAACGTTTGGTGTAGAAAAAATTGGTCTCAAGTTGCCAAACTGATTCATGAAGTAACGGAAAAGACAAAAATTCAACTTGAAAATTACACCGGTATTATCAAACCAATACCAAAGATAGATCACGTATTGATTTCCAATCATTCAAGTGTATCTTCAGAAAATTGGGGTCTTATCGTTTACAAGTAATAATTTTTATTAGACTTTATTTCTTTAATTACTTTATCTTAGATCCATTCGAATGATAATATACACTATGTACTATATTTTTTATATATATCAGCGAAAACGATGTAACGTATGTGGAGGATCCTTCGGATACATATAATGTAGAAACCGTAACCAGACTTGTAGCACACGATTTAGTTCATCAATGGTTTGGAAATCTAGTCGGTCCTTCCTGGTGGGATCATTTATGGTTAAATGAAGCTTTTGCTCATTATTTTCAGTATTACTTTGTTGATAAGGTACAAATATACAGAATAACATATCCTACTTTTATCCGTAAATTAAACTAATATTTGTACACGTACTCGCTATTAGATATATCAAGAGTCAAGAGTGTTAGATATATTTGTAGTGGCTATTCAACAAGCATGTGCACTTTTCGGAGATTTTTATTCAATTGTACAACATAAAAAATCATTGAAATGTATTTACCAAGAGCCTTATTTGGGCGTACATGCTATTGCCTGTCGTAAAGGTAATGAATACGATTTTAAAATAATAAAAAAATAATTTTATTTTTAAAATATATTTTATTTTACAATAAAATATTTTACAGGATCATGTATTTTACGTATGCTCTCTCATTGTCTTTCCGAAGAGATCTTTCATAAAGGAATCGTAACCTATCTCAATACATTGTCAGTGTCAAATATTTTAAATGCAAACGCATTTTTTAACGACCTTATTTCAAGAGTTCCTCTTCTTTAAAATTAAAAAAATTTTTTTTTAGCCAGTACGACACATCCACACCTGATCATTTGTGGAAAATATTCGAGGAAACGATGAAACCGGAAAAAATTAATATCAAAGAAATGATGGATACTTGGGTAAAACAAAAAGGATATCCTCTTGTAACGGCAAAACGAGATTGTAATACTGGAGTGATAATTGTAACACAAGAACGTTTTAAACAATTTAATAGTGACGACGAGGAAGATGATGAAGTTGATGATAACGATGATGATAATGACGATAATCCAAAGTGGTGGATACCCATCAATTATACAAGCAGAAGTGAAGCAAATTATTCCTCAACTTTACCAACGCATTGGTTAAAGCCAAAAGATGAGAATTTGACGATCGATAATGTCAATGCGAACGATTGGTTCATTCTTAATGTACAACAAACGGGTACGAATAAATTTGATAAAATTCGAAAAAATTGTGGGTAAAGAAATTTATCGAGACGACGATTTTTAACAATAGGCTATTATCGAGTTAATTACGACAAGGATAATTGGAAGAAAATCGCTGAGTATTTGGATTCGGAAAATTACATAAAGATTCACCCTTTGAATCGTGCACAGATTATCGATGACTCATGTTATATGGTTCGAACGAAACGTTTAAATCCAATTATTTTCTTGGAAATTATAAAATATTTGTCACGTGAAACGGATTATATACCGTGGTATTCAGCATTTAGAGCTTTTCGAACGTTTCAAGATTATTTCACATTTCCAAAAAGTGCTGTCTTCCTTAAGGTACAGCGATATAAACGCAGAATCATTATCCTTTGAAAGTACATAATGATAGTTAATTATCTATACAACGATATAAATAGCATTAAATTATTTTTATTCATAGCCTTACGCTCTAGAATTGATCGATGGTCTTTTACGGAATGTTGGTTATGATGAAAATCCAAACGATGATCACTTAACGAAATTAAAAAGAGTCGAAGTTCTTCAATTAGCCAGCGATCTTGGACATTTGGAATGTAGGAAGGTTGCGAATGCCAAATTGATCGCATATATAGAGGATCCTGATTCAAATCCGTACGTATAGTTTATAACTTAAGTAGTTACTATGAAGGAATTTCAATTATATTTCTTTCAGTATATCTTCTAATTTAAATACATGGGTATTTACTAATGGGATGAGAGAAGCTGACGAAATACTATTTAATAAATTTCTTAAGAGGTATAAGAATAATCCAAGCTTTCCAACGTTTCGCTACTTAAGTAGTATCGAAGATCCTATGTTAGTCGAGAAGCTATTAAAATTAACGTTAACTGATGATTCACCGATTTCGAAGGACGATCAAGTAGAGGTTTACCGTTCTGTCATGTACACGAGTGTTAAGAACGTAAACACCACTATAGATTTTATTATAGATAATTGGAAAAAAATAAGAGCAAGGTAATCAAGTTTCTTTCACAAATTGATATCATTTTTATATTTATCTTTTCCATTTGATATTTTATAGAATCGAAGATGCAGATGAGATAATTGATGATGTCGTGGGTGAAATTACTTCCTGGGATCAATTTCACAAGGTTCGGTATTCTAGGCATATTGAATTTATGATTATGAGAAAGTTATTAATTTAATAATATTATTATATACATTCGTAATATAGGTAAAATTGTTTATGAAAGCGAACGGACTGAATGGAAAGCGAAGCATAGATGATGTGGAAACGTTTTTGAAAAAAGCGGAGGAACATACATCTGAAATTGTTAAATGGATGAAGATGCAAAGTTCATTACAAAATGTCGATGAAAAATTAGAAAATTTGCATTTTACGAATGTACAAAACATATGAAATACACATTTTAAAATACATTTTGAAATATATATGTTCAAAGACATTACAGTTCACAATTTTCCTACTTTGTCGTTATCTTTAATTTTTTAAACGATAAATGTTTTTCTTTGGTAATAGCTAGGTACACAGACAATGTGAAAAAATGTTGAAAGTATCTGAAATATCTCGGTAATGAAAACGGATAACATTTATCGGAAAGAAATTTTCGATAAGATATAGTGCAAAAATCAAAATATAAAAATATGAAACATATTGTCTTTCCAAACAGTTTAAATAGTCTTGTGATACTATTCGATTTATGTCTTAAGTGCATGATAAAATAAATCAAAATATTTACAGAAATATTGCACAGATCGATGAGATTTGTAACATGCAAATTTTTTCCTTGTGATTTTTCCAAATGATGATTGATCAATTAATTTTTTTTTCATATAGTGAGTGCACAATACAGAATTATACGTATGATTTGTAACAATGAACTACTTCAAGAGATATTTTGTGCAAACTATTTATTTACTATCACAAGCGAATCATTTTAGATTATATCGCAAATAATTCATTCGATAAAAAAAATTCATTCGATAGAAAAGGAAGTTAAACGTCTTGGAAAAGTCGATCATATTTGATAACTGAAAGTCCTAGATAGATTGGAATTTCATTTGATTCTTCTAAGGAAAAATTAAATTTGTTATATGAACAAATATTTGCGATTATTGCTTGCTTTAAATAAAAAATAATAAAAAAAAAATATATATATATATATATTTTTCGCTTGCTCATGTATGGTAATAGAATATTGAAAAAGTGATAACGGTTATCCGAGTACGTGATAAGATAACGAAAGATATAATAATACAGTCATTTACTTGTGGATAAGTATAAAATATATTATATTACTTAGCAGATTTGAACTCGAAACAGAAGCCGTGGAAGAACTACGTCTTTTTCTTTAGATACACTCACGCGTTGAGTACTCATTCATCTTAACAATGAATTAGTGATACAAATGATTATGTGCATCAATGAATTTAGAAAAGTAATACGATAATAGATACGAATAGTGTAAAGATAATTCTAATGTAATTGGGATTCTTATTCAACAAGGTATGTAATTAATAAAGATACTCTTGGAAATTTTAACGAAAGTTAAACTCGTCATATTGATAATAAAAAGAAACAGCATTATCTCTTAATATTTATATAGACTTTTGTTGTTCATTTCATACAAACTTCTTTATAGACTGAAACTTTAATAAAATCTATACGATGGAATGTCATCGAATATTATTTTTAATTATAAGTCTAGAGATTTTTTTAATCATCGGACACACGAAGGACATTTCAGAAGGTAATATAAATTTTTAAATAATATAACAAAGAGATTTGAAAAGGACAAAAATCTTTAAATATATATAATACGTTTAATACATTTTAATGTGTTTAGATGAATCCAAAGTTAAAGATGATCTTTCTTCGGAGAACTATCGATTGCCGACAACGATGCATCCAACTTCTTACGAAATTACACTGTTTCCTAAGCTAACCGGAAATTTTTCATTCAAAGGTGAAGTAAAAATCAATGTTACAATTGATACGCCTACCAAATTCATTGTTCTTCACCAAGGAAATCTATTGAATGTAAATGCATCGGTTAGTGCTGAGAATGAATGGTTAGAAATTGAAAAACAAAGTTATGATAAAAAGAACGAACAATATAATATTCAATTGAAAGACAATCTGAAAGTAGGCAATGAAATACTATTACATTTCACTTACGATGGTTTTCTTCGAGACGATATGATTGGATTTTATAAGAGCTCGTATGTGACTGGCGACAATAGGCTTCGGTGGGTAGTTCGTTGTTTGTCGTATTGCAAGAGGAATGTTTTTTAAAGAATGAACATTTTTTAGATGGTTAGCAACAACTCAATTTGAAACGACACACGCGAGGCATGCTTTTTTATGCTTCGACGAGCCGGGTTTCAAAGCGACATTCAAGATAAGTTTAATACGATCAGAAGAATTTACTAGCATCAGTAATATGCCATTGGAAAATACCAAACAAATGTAAAAAATGAATTTTCATTTCGTGCAAAATAGATAGTTTATATTTAATTTTTCATAACAAAAATTTTTAATGCTATTGCAGTTCATCGAATTTGTACCTGGACACTTTCAAGACAACCGTTCCTATGTCCACTTATCTTGTAGCCTTTGCCATATTCGATTTTCATAGTTTTCAAGTAGAGAACTTGACAGTTTGGACGAGACCAAATCTGATCCCTGAAGCTTATTACGCTTCGAAGATTGGTTCTGATGCATTAATCTATTTGGCAAGTTTGTTCCAACAAGAATATGAACTACCAAAGATGGATATGGTCGCAGTACCAGATTTTTCGGCAGGAGCTATGGAAAATTGGGGATTGATTATGTATCGAGAATCACGAATGCTCTACAATGAAAACGAATCTTCTATAGTCGCTCAACAAAACGTAGCTTCTGTTATCATTCACGAAATTACGCATATGTGGTTCGGTAATTTGCTCACTCCATCCTGGTGGAGTTATTTATGGTTGAGTGAAGGTTTCGCCAGATACTTTCAATATTTCGGTACAGCACAGGTGAGATTTCAAATTGATCTCGTTCTTTTTCCTATTCTTATGAAAATAATCGTAGGTTGAGAAAACTTGGAGTATGGAAGACCAATTCCTAGTGGAACAATATCAAGCAGCTTTGGGTGTTGATGCAATAGAAACATCACAACCGATGACAAGAGAGATTCATAATCAATTGCAAGTTAATGAAATTGGAGATTCTATCACTTATGCCAAAGGAGCCAGTATTATTCGTATGATGAGTTATATCGTTGGTATTGACAAATTCTATGAGGCTTTACGTTTCTACATACGTGAGAAGTAAGGATAAAACGATAATGACAGAGTCAAAGTAATTATTATAAATTCACTTATCTTATTTAAGTATATATGATCGATTAATTTGTTTTATTAGCAAAAATATCGGTATCGTCGAACCTAAAAACTTGTGGATAGCGTTACAAAAAGTCATCGACCCTTCAAATATTGATATAGAAATTATTATGAATAATTGGACGAAGAAGCCAGGATTTCCTGTATTAACAGTCATCATTGAAAAGGGTAAAGCAAAGCTACAACAAAAACGTTTTCTTTTAAGAAATTTCAAATCCACACTTGTAAATGAAATATGGTCAATACCGATCACTTATACCACACAAAAGCAAATGGATTTCAAATCGATCGAAGTAAAACATTGGATGAAAGATACAGAAAAGACGATCAATATCGATATTTCTGATTCGGATTGGATAGTGTTCAACGTACAACAAGCTGGTTAGTAAAATCCAGATGTGTTATGTGCAATTGTGGAATAAAGCAAGTTTAATCGATTTATTGATTGCAGGCTTTTATCGAGTAAATTACGATAATGCCTCGTGGTATCGAATTATTGATGCATTGAAGAGCGATAGTTTTGAAAAAATACACGTATACAATCGAGCCGGGATCATCGATGATCTATTAAATCTCGCGAGAACTGGATTATTAGATTATCGAACTGCTCTTGACGGTCTTCAATATCTCCAACAAGAGAAAAATTACTTACCTTTCAAAGCTGCATTTAGAGGCCTTGATTATCTTACTCAACGATTTTCCGGTAACGAAGTTAATTACGTTTTATACAAGGTCCGTTTGTTAACAGTACAAGATAATTTATAAATACGAACATGAAACTGATTTGAATTGATTTTTATAGAGATACGTTTTATCGCTCATCGAAAATGTTTATCAAACTCTCGGATATGTAGATCGAAAAAAGGATGATCGATTAACGATACAGCTACGACGAGAATTAAACGACCTTGCTTGCAAATTCGGCCACGAAGAATGCGTCTTTAGTTCTCTGGAATATTTCCGTAGTATGATAAACGCAGTTTCCCGGTAAGATGGTAGTCGATATTGTCTCGTTGACGATTATTATAAGTCTTATTATTCGTAATAATCGTAAAATCTTTCCGTTCGAAGGATTGAACCGAACCAAAGATCGGCAGCATATTGTATGGGTGTACTTTATGGTAATGTCGATGATTGGAACTTTTTATGGAATCATTACAAAACTTCGAAAGTGGTATCCGAACAATTGGTTATACTAAATGCTCTTGGATGCAGCAACGATACCGATATCTTGAAACAGTGAGATAGATTGAAGATATCTTTTTTATAGCTAAACGATAAACGATCATTCTCTTAAAAGTTTTTTTTACTCTTTAGATATCTCAGATATGCCATTTCACCTTACGAAAAACACAAAATTCGCAAACAAGATAGCACGAGCATTTTCTCAGCCGTCTACAGTTCGAGCTTAATCGGAGTAAACTGCGTTCTCGAATTCGTCGATAAAAATCACGATGAAATAGCAAAGTAGTAAGTAATTAAGCTTTTCATCGTAACTCAAATTGCAATTTTTATGAAAAAGAATATCCAAAGTGACGTTAACATTATTATTTTTCATTTCTCAGTTATGGTAGTTACGATACGATCGCCAGCATACTCTCAGGTGCATCTCGATATCTTTCAACGGATGAACTCATAAATAAATTCGAACGCTTGATCAAAAGCCATATAGAATTTGAAGAGATCTCTAAATCTTTGACGAGTTCTCTAGAACTTGCTAAATACGAATTAAACTGGTATATAAAAAATGTTGATCACATTGTCTCGTGGATAAAGGATAATAATAAAGTGTCCGGTAAAATATTGTCATATAATTAATGTAATATTTAATTAAAGATAAAACTTATTTTTAAATAATTTACAGATCTAAATAGTAATGAATATCATCTACCGGGAGATGTAATTCCGAAGAAATATGTTCTTTCTTTGGAACCTTTCCTCGACCCAGGCAATTTCACATTCAGTGGTACCGTGCAGATTCTAGCAGTGGCCACTAAAAAAACGGATCAAATCATTCTTCACGCCTCCGA